TTACGTGTCATCGCTTTTTAAAGTCTCCTTTGGTTGTAGGTTTTCCCTGACTCTTGTGGGCTCAGAATTTGGGGGATTCAGCAGACTCCACACTTGGAAAAACCAGGCGGAGGTAGTGTTTTGGGGAGAAACGGCTCTAGCAACACGGGCAGCAATGCTTTACTCTAGAGAAGAGCGAACATTTGTATCTGTGAAGACCCCTACATTTCTAGCTCTAGGTTTTCCTTAATAATATATGGCTGACAACTGAGTGATTAAGAAGCTTATTATATTTTTACTTGATTCAGAGAACCTTGTAATTTTTACCCAAAACGTCTTTTGGATTAGATATTTAAATCAGATCACTGTGCACAGAGTGAATAATCTGTATATTGCCACATACGTCTACTTCCTATAGGTTGATCTGACCCTTAAAGCAGGACATTTGTCCAATAATGTTAAAAGCTTCCCTCTTCTTCTGGTGTCTTGGACACATCGGCATTCTGGGTTAGATACACCTGCTCCTTGAAAGGTGCATTTATTTTTACTCTTACATAATAATGGAAGAACTTTGCATTTACATGTATAATTCACAGAAAACTAACCTTTGCTAGAAAGAAAATGGAAAGGATAAACATCCCACGGATAGATTGCATTGTATTTCTTTAAAATTTTACACGGTCAGCATCTTAGATGTGACCGTTTTAAATATGATTCTCTGTCAGCTCTTGAGTACGCATCCAGCCTATGGTTTGTTTATACCCTTCCACACAGTTCCTTTTCCTTATTTTACTTTTTGCATGTCCTTTCACACACGTGGGGGTGGTGAGGAGTCCGTTTCTTTAGGAGCCGTGGCTGCAGGTTTGGTGCGGAGAGGGCAGAGATTGAAATGGTTGACCTGAGTCGGGTGGGATGCACTGTTTTATTTGCCACTTTATAATACACTTTTATGTTATCACGGGACAAGTTGATGACAAACATTTGTTGACACCAAAACAGGTAACTTCCATGTGCTCAAACACAATTCTGTTAGGCAATAACATCTTTTATGTGGACTTTTATAAAACGATGATATGAGATAAATTGTTTTTCTTCATCAGATGGTAAGTATTATAATACAATGAAACTTTTACATTCAGATTTTTTTCCCTATTTTTATTTTTCAGGGTTCTAACCATTTAGCTGTTGTATTTGGTGACATTATTTTAGCCGTTATTGACTCCATTTTTGTATGGTTCATATCCTTTACTGTGTCCTAAAATTGTTGTATCATTAAAATCGGATTATTTTTAGTTTGTAATAATAATAGAGAGAAATACACTTATGCATTATTGTTACCTCAATATAGAAATTTAGTTGAAGGTGAAAAAGTAACGATTCCTCGAACAAAAAATATCCTTATTTTTTCTATTAGTTCAACAAACTTAAATACACATATTGAGCGATCTGGTAAGGAAGAAAAATACATAACTAGGAGCAACGTAGCAATAGTAATTGCCACGTTAGAGAGGTGCTATGCAAACAGAGGAAAGAGAAATTTATTCCAGGGTGAAAATCAGGAAAGATTTCAGGGAGATGGTGACATTTTAATTGAGACTGAGTGGACAAATCGGGGTTTACTAGGAAAAGAACTGAGGGAAAAGCATTCTGGGAAGATTTAAGGGGCCCAAATAGTTGGAAGCATGAAAATATAGGGACAGTGGCACGATGTCTCAGAGTAGCTTGCCTGTAGGTAACGTGTGTAGGAGAATCGTGGAAGGTGGGACCAGAAGGGAAGGATTCAGTGACATGCTCGGGAGTTTAGGTGGAAAGTGGCAAGGAGCTGAGGCTGCACAGGTGAATGACATGATGAAATCTTGTAAGAAAGAACTCAAGGATGGCATTTTTGAAAATGCCTGGGAAAGGAGAGTCTAGAGCTGGGAAGTCTAGTAGGGAGTCCTTTGCAGTGGGGCCAAAGGGGGGATAGCGAGGGTTAGAAATGGGGCAGCGGAAATGGAAGAGGGACTCTAGATGAGAAGCTGGCTAGAAATGGGTGGGGAAAGGGAGAGAGGGCTCCCGGGAAGGCATGCACGTCTCAAGTGGGTGGCTGGACCAGTGTTGCCATTCTCAGGGTAGTAAACATGGATAAGGGACCACAGTGGGTGAGGGTTGAGCTGCCCAGGGCATTAGTGTGAAGAAGAGAGTTGGAAGGCCCAGCCTGGCTTAGCAAGAGGAGCCAGAGCTGGTGACGAAGGTGGGAGTCAGCTTTGTGTGGGAGAAGGTCGCAGCCGCGGAAGCGACCCGAGAAGAACAGGTAGACCAGCAAGTGGAGAGGAACCAGGATAGTGCCTCGTGGGGCGGAAACATGCATGGAAGGAAGTCCAGGGCGAAGGGAGGTGGGAGAACCAGGAAGTCGTCCTGGGGTGGAGGCTAGGAAAGCTTTGGTAAGGAGGGGTGCTCAGCAGTGGCTGGCGCTGCAGAGAGATGAGTTCCCGGGGCGCACCTGTCTGCCTGGTTCATTCCAGGGGTCACGGCGGACAGCAGGAGAGCGGGTTCAGTGGAGGTGGTGGGCCAGAGGCCATAGCACAGCAGGAAAAGTTTCGGAGACAGTGTTAACCGATCCTTGAGGCTCCTCCGCACTGATTGAGTGACTCCAGGGGAGTCTGGGCAATTCCACTGTTTTCCTCTCCAAGGCATTCGTGGAATGGGAGGGATTCTAGGGAAACTACGACCTGGTCAGAGCAGAATGCAGGGTTCTGCGGAACCAGAACATTATTTTTATCTGTTTCGTTGACATTTATGTCCTCTTTGAAACTCATAAGCTTTTATTTTTACACAGTTCTTTTTGTTTCTATTGTCTTTGATAATTGTCTTTTAGCTTTTTATTTTAAGAAGATGTTGGGGGTAGGAGTTTATTAATTTATTTATTTAGTTTTGCTGTGTTGGGCCTTCGTTTCTGTGCGAGGGCCTTTTCTCTAGTTGCGGCGAGCGGGGGCCACTCACTATAGCAGCCTCTCTTGTTGCGGAGCACAGGCTCCAGACGCGCAGGCTCAGTAGTTGTGGCTCACGGGCCTAGTTGCTCCGCGGCATGTGGGATCCTCCCAGACCAGGGCTCAAACCCGTGTCCCCTGCATTAGCAGGCAGATTCTCAACCACTGTGCCTCCGGGGCAGCCCTGTCTTTTAGCTTTTAACATGAAATGTGATTTTGTTTTCCTTGTGTTTCTTTCCATGTTCTCATCTTTGTCTCTCACAGGGAGGGTTGGAGGGCTTAAAATTGCCTGTGTCCCTTCTCTGCAGGAAGCTGTCCCTCTCTGAAGGTGCGCTAACAGATGTAACACTGTTAGTAGGATTTTCTGAGCTCCTTGTGGGTTGTTTTCCTAAACCCGGTCTTATCTATTCTTTAAATTCCCTGTTTGTGAATTCTCGATATGCTTCCAAGTTAAAAACAAAACAAAAATATTTTAATTTATTTTTATTCTCGAAAGCAGTGGTTCTTAGCCTTGTTTGGGATCTGGCAGCAGAGATGCCTTTGCAAATCTGATGAAAGCTGTGGAGCCTCTTCACAGATTATATATAAACACACACTTCATTCACACAAGGAGTTTTTCCTACAGTGAGGCATTTACAGACCTCCTAAATTATATCCAGGTAGCCCCTAGTGTCCGAGGGGTGTCAGTAAAGGGATAGTACCTGATTTAAAGAGTTGTTTCGACCAACTTGTTTGAAAACTGGATTCTACTTCTGTTGAGAGCTACCAGTTGAGAATCCAAGTTTACTGAATAAAATTATAGTAATATAAATCCGATCTTTTCCGAGTCGTAAAAATATCTGACTCTAATGTAATTTTTCATATTCTCTACACTAAAAAAAAAAAAAAACAAAAAAACATGTAGAGTCATTCAGTTGTTAAAAAGGTGAAGTCCATTCCTCAGTTCTGCAGGTGAGCAGGGTTCCAGCTCTGAGTACTCATCCCCAGTGTGGAGCCCGCTCTGCCGAAGCCCCAGCTTCATCGCTTGTTAGGGATTCTCACCTGACTTGAGGATAAGGGGCAGGCAGTGCGAACATCCTGGGACCTGGACAGGCAGATTTGCAGGGGAGGTGAACTAGCCACTGGGCTCAGCGTTACTGTCTCTAATCTTAATGTCTTCTCTTCTGTCATTGTGAGTTTAGAAAATGAGCTTAAGACATCTATTCATTTGGAGTTGTCTTATTTCTAAACTTGTATATGCTTAGAGCCTTGTAAACTTTACACTTTAAAAATCTATATTATCTTTTCTCCTGGTAAGTTACAGATATGTATTTCAAAGTATTCTTGTTCTTAATCATCTACAAGGTGGTACATTGGTTCATTGGGAAAAATACATAGTAATGCAACTTGGCAGAAAATTCCAGAGGAAAGTGGCTGTAAACGCTCTAATTCCATCTGGATTTGAATGAGGGTAACTTACCACCTTTATGGACAGCATTGGCTTTGGTCCAACACATAATGAGCCAGATTGGGATGGGGAGATAAGGAAAGTAAGGGGAAAGATTTAGCTTGCTTAATTAATAATGTTTTTAAAAAACATGCTTGAGGTAAAGGTCATAGCCACAGCCTTCTGCCTCTTTTCTCCTGCTTGTTTGTTTTATTTTTTTTTGCTGTTTTGCTGCAGGCAAATGATTCTGATCTTGTGCTTCTGGCCAGCCTCCCTCTGTCTCTTCTCAACTCTGGCTTGTGCTGGTGGATATCCTTTTCCTAGCGCAGCAGCACGTTCAAGGTGATTCTCTTGTCAGGATGATGGGGCCTGTGTGCTTTCCTTACTGCTTCAGAAGTATTTGGTCTTGATCGTGTTTATTGAATAAAGCATATTTGCATTTCTGTAAATTCTGACAGTAGGCCTAATTGGTTGAATTGTGCTGATTTAGAAACTGGTCTTCTGTTGCAACTTATTGGTCATTCAGAAAGATTGAAAAGCAGCTTTGGTAGTTTTAGTACTAAAGTGAAGTTTTTGATGAATGGAGTATTTGGAATTTAAATAGGAGGCCTGAGTGCAAACTGTGCCACTTCCATTCCTTTGCTCAACTCTGTTATGTACGTTCAGAGTGTGGTCCCTGAACGGGGCTTGGCAGGTGCTGCAGAGGAAACAGCTCCCGTTTACCGAGCGCTGGCTTGAGCACAGCTGCACTACTGAGGAGCCAGTGGACAAGCCTCTTTCTGCTTCTTGGTACCTGACAGTGTCGCACTTTACCTGAGCCCTGTGCTCCTGGAACAGCCGTGGTTAAGACAGCCGCCACCCTTTCATGTTCCGGGAAAAGGCTTACTATCAATACAAACAGGTGCCTTTCCCCATAGGACTTCGATGAGACTCCCAGGTGCCCCCATGTTTACTTGTGACAAGGCCAGACACAGACCTATGTACCCACTGACCAATCTGGACAAAATACCAGACTGGACCAAACTAAGCCTTCTCCTTCCCCCGGGTTCCCGAGCTTTCATCCACCCGCAGCCCTCCTTCACGGCCCCTCCTGAAAACCTGCAGACTTCAAGGAAAGTCATTCTCTGGGCAACTGTCGCGTCAGGCCACGCACTTCTCACACCTGCTGCTCTCGACACCTGTTTACTCCTCCCTATAAAAGCAAAGCCCTTCCCTGCCTGACCTTTGGGACTCTCTCGGATCTTATAGTCGGAACATTCTCCCTATTGCAATAATCTCTTCAATAAAGTCTCTTTTTACCCAAGTCCAGATTTGTGTTACTTGACATATTTCAGTTTAAATTTATAAAATGGAGTTGGCGGATGATGTAACTTCTTAATTATGGTCGTTCGGAGGATAAAATGAGAATAGACCAGAAACAACAAAGTGAGAAAGAAACAGGCAGAAAAGCACAAGCCAAATGGCATGTCATGATGGGATCTGTAAAGAGTGTCTGGCCTAAGGGGGACTTGGCATTTAGTGTGTGTCCTGCTCTGTTCTCTGTTTCAAGAACTTGGCATCGAAGGAGCACATCATAGGTCTTCTTGCTTATGTTTTTTTTCCTTGAAGTTTGTTTACTTAGTTCAGACAGTGGTATACTGTAAAACAATATCTGTGATGAAATTGGTATCATGATTATACAATATTGGATAAGACAACATTTTCTGTGTTTTTATTAGTTTTAAATTATAGGAATTATATATAGCAGTACTAATTTTGGAAATGTAGCAGAAGATTCTTATTTTGTTTTTTATCTTAACTGTATATTACTATTTAAAATTTTTTCCTTAACTTTTTTCACATTTTTATAAGTTTGGCACAAACTATGAAGACTCTAAGGCTAAGAAAGAACACAGTGAAATTTTCTTTGTACAGGCACTTTACAAATACCCTGATCTTTGCCATAATGGGTAAGCTATCTAACTTTTCTTTTAAAATACATTATTTTAGTATTGCATATTCTTTCAGTGGTTGACTTTTTTTGGTGTGTTTCAGCATCTGTAGTGTTTATGGTGTGGACAACTAAGACATTTAGAATTGCAAAATGTCAATCAGTAAGTATAATCTTCCTATTTAAACAGTTTTCATTTTTAATTATTCTATTTTATTTTGTGTAAGTTTGAAGAATTTTGTGTTTGTAGACAGATAATTTTAGTGGAGATTTTCTGTTTACTTGGAATTATTTTGGATAGAATTATAAAAACATTTGCCTTCTTTAAATGTCTGAAAAAGTTCCTCTTAAATCTCCTTTTCCAATTATGCCCTTTTCTCAACTTCTTTTTGTGTGTTTTGAAAAGGAATCCTCCCCCTGTATAATTTAAGGTAACAGGAAATCTTTTTCTTCCAGCACACAGTGTAATTGGGTTGTTTTGTACTTAGGACTGTAAGCCTTAAGCCTGACATGTTTCTAGGATGGTATACTCATTATGAACATTCAGGAGATACCCTCCATGGATTCTCTCGTTAGAAGAAGACACATTTCTCAGACTTAAAATATAAAAGGCCCTCTTGGGGGTTTCTTGATTTGGAAATAGTCTCTAGTTCTATTTAAATAATTATAAAGAGCCCTCTGAAAACCCTGGACTTCTGCTGTGGGGATAATTTAGTGAGAGAAGAAACTGTTCTTGTCTATAAAATAATTGACCTCTGAAGCCCTTTTAAACTCGAATTCTTTTTTTATTTTTATTTTTTATTTATTTTTGGCTGTGTCGGCTCTTTGTTGCTGTGCGCAGGCTTTCTCTAGTTGCGGCGAGCAGGGGCTACTCTTCGTTGTGGTGCGTGGGCTTCTCATTGCGGTGGCTTCTCCTGTTGCAGAGCCCAGGCTCTGGGTGCGCGGGCTTCAGTAGTTGTGGCACATGGGCTCAGTAGTTGTGGCTCGCAGGCTCTAGAGCACAGGCTCAGTAGTTGTGGTGCATGGGCTTAGTTGCTCTGCGGCATGTGGGATCTTCCCGGACCAGGGCTTGAACCTGTGTCCCCTGCATTGGCAGGTGGATCCTTAACCACTGCGCCAACAGGGAGGTCCCTCTAATTCTTTTTATGATACTATATAATTTGTTGGGATTTTATTCATTATATTGGTTATAAGGCTGAAGTAAGCATTAGTATTACTGAAGTAAGCATAATGATTTTATAGAGATAGCATTTCTTAGTTTTTATGTTTCTCGGAAGAACGTGTGCTTATTCATTTGGAAGACTTATTGGTTGGAAAGATTTCATTAGTACTTGTCATTATACTATTTGAATGGGAAATCTGTATGTTTATCAGAAAATTAACTTTTCCTGTTTAAATTGTCCTTATTATAGGATTGGATGGAACGCTGGGTTGATGATGCATTTTGGAGCTTCCTTTTTTCCCTTATCCTTATTGTAATAATGTTTTTGTGGAGACCATCAGCAAATAATCAGAGGTACCTAACATAGGAAAGTTCAAATTTGGCAAGGATTTGTTCGTCATCTGCTACAATGTTAAATAAAACAGCATTTATAGAAACTGGAGAGGTAGCCCTTGCTGTTAAAGAGTGTACATACTGTCAAGAGGGGAGACAGATGTAACAAAAGCAAGACAGTGAAATAAGAGATATATAAGCCCAGCAGGAAGGTGGAAGAGGGGTCCATGAAAAGGCAGCATTTATGTTACACCTTCAGGAAAGGAGTAGGACAGTGAATGCCTGACCTGGGAAAGAG